CCCCCCCCCCCCCCCCCCCCCCCCCCCTTACCTGTGCCTCCCCCAGGTCGTTGTTGACCACGGTGAAGTTGAGGCCCAGGTCCTCCACATCCTCCTCGTAGCTCTTGAGGAAGAGCAGGTTCCGGTACATCTCCGGGTCCAGCGAGGCCAGGTGGTGGATGTCTACCTCCGCACTGGTGCCCAGCAGCTTGGACAGGAAGAAGCTGGCAAAGGGCAGCTCCACCAGCATGTTCTCGTAGAGCGCCTGCCCCACACACACATACACACAGGTCTCTAATGAAACACCTCACAGCCAAAACCTACAACTGACCATTACAGTAAAGCATATCTAAATGTATTAAACAATTTAGATTGGAGGGTGGCAAAGAGACTCAGTTGGTAGGTGCAGGCCTCCAGGGTTGGGGGTTTGAATGCTTCCATGTTCTCACAGCGTTGCACAGCATTCCTCTGGTTCCCTCCCGCAGCGCCAAGACATGCTGTTAGGTTAACTGGCGTCTCTGAATTGCCCAGAGAGTGTGGGTGTGTGCCCGCATGTGCCCGCAGATAGACTGGCATTCTGATCAGGATCTACCCCTGCCTTGTACCCGGTACTGCCTGGGATAGACTCCAGGCCCCCTGCTCACCCTGTACTGGTTAACCAGCTAGAACATGGATGGAAATTAGATCAGGTACCAGGGCACAAGTACAGCAGCCCAACCTGGCAGCATTTCTGGTCGTAGTCCAATCCAGGGGTTATACGAGGGTGAAGCCACAAGGGCTGAAAAGATGATTGGCCCCAGATTGCCCTCTCCCAGGTCAATCACCATTTCAAAACATATCATTGGCTAAAGATAAGGTTTTGCCCCTGTATGAATTATAGCCCTTTTTAAGCCCTTTTATAGCCCCTAGTCCAAATGGATTTTGAAATGAGCAGAACTCACCTTGCCCAGGATGCGGCCCAGGAAGTAGTAGTGCCTGGTGAAGGAGTCTCCGACCAGCATCTCCGCACTGGGGCTAGGGTACAGGAGGCCCTCGTTGGTGGTCTTGAAGAAGCCCTGGTTGGGGTTGAAGCCCGACTTGAGCAGCTCGTTGAGGAACTCGCGGAATATGCCGCCCCCGTCGATGCCGGCCTCGTCCAACCCGTGGGTGTTGAGCAGATGCACCCGGATGCGTTTCTTGAGGTCCGGCTCTGCGGGGTGGTCAGAGGAATCAGTGGAAGCCATGGCCTCTAGGTGGCGCTGTTGTGGTCATGTTTACCACCCGGGGATAAGCTTGTGTGACTGACCAGAATAATTTCAGGTTGAAACTCAATTAATAGCAATAATATGGCACGCTAACCTCAGAGGAAAGAGCAACAGGAGAAATACAGCAGCTATTATAAGGATCGAGAGCCACAATGGCATCCATGAAAACAGGAAACGTCACGCATGCCATTCACGCATCTCCATTTTGACCAGTCTCCTCCCGTACCATTCTCCGGAGACAGCTTGTCATAAGCATCCTCGTAAATGTAGTTCCGCCTGATGGTGACGTTGATTCCATCCGGAAAGGGTCCGTCGCCCTGCACTTCCCGTTTGTCTGCATAGATCAGTCGCTGGAAGATCTTAAATAAAGACACGCGGCAGATTAAAAGACTCAAAGTTGTTAACGGGTGGTGATTAGCTGGAGGTGGGCTGGGGGCGGGGTTACCTTGACCCGCTCCTCAAAGGGGACGACGAATGGGAGCTCGGTGAGGATGGCCAGCTGCCTCTCCTCACACACCGAGAGCTGTGGGGGCTCCAAGCCCACTGTGCACAGAGACAGACGCGTTACTAATGACCGAGGAACTGTGCGCACACACTGACATAGTAATACACATACACTTCTGCTGCACTCACACATTCCTCCATAATCTCTTCAGGATATAGAACAGGGGTCACCAACATGGTGTGTGACCTCACCACGCCTAAGATCCCGCTATGTGTGTGACCTCATCACGCCGAAGAACCCGCTATGTGTGTGACCTCATCACGCCGAAGAACCCGCTATGTGTGTGACCTCATCACGCCGAAGAACCCGCTATGT